AAACCCAAAGTCGGTGAGAAAAAACCAAAAGTTAAAATTTCCAAATTAGATAATAAAAAGTAAAATAATAACAATACAGAAAAGGAGAAAGATACATATTTTTTAAACATTAATATAACAATTACCAACATTTTTTGGCCAAATTCTTTAAACGTTTCAGAAAATAGAAAAAAAAATCAATGATTCATTAAATACCTCTGCAGCAAAGTGAGCATAAGCCATCAACGTGGCAAGACAAATCAGTACCATAGACTTTACAGATCATCACCTCAATAAATACAGGCAACCAAAATCAAGATTAATCGGAAACAACACGGAAAATAGAAAAAAAATCAAGGATTCATTAAATACCTCTCTAGCAAAGTGAGCATAAGCCATCAACGTGGCAAGACAAATCAGTACCATACACTTTACAGATCATCACCTCAATAAATACAGGCAACTAAAATCAAGATTAATCGGAAACAACACGGAAAATAGAAAAAAAATAAAGGATTCATTAAATACCTCTGCAGCAAAGTGAGCATAAGCCATCAACGTGGCAAGACAAATCAGTACCATAGACTTTACAAATCATCACCTCAATAAATACAGGCAACTAAAATCAAGATTAATCGGAAACAACACGGAAAATAGAAAAAAAATAAAGGATTCATTAAATACCTCTGCAGCAAAGTGAGCATAAGCCATCAACGTGGCAAGACAAATCAGTACCATAGACTTTACAAATCATCACCTCAATAAAAAAACCCAAATCAAACTTTAGTGAGCATTAAAAAAAATCAGAACAAATGAGATACAAAAGCAAGCCACAAATAAAAATGGTAGAACAATGTCGAAAAACACAAAACAAATCCGAACAGATGAAGCACAAAAACAAATAACGAAGAGAATAATGTAAGTAAACATTAAAACCAGTAAAAAAAAGAAAAAAGAAAAAAGAGGCCAAGTATGTAGTCACTCAAGAACAGATAAAAACCTAAACCAAGACCACAAATGAATTGAGCCTAGAAGCAATCCAAGAAAACCGAAGAGGCCTGCACTAAAACCCAAATCAAACTTCAGTGAGCATTAAAAAAATCAGAACAAATGAGACACAAAAACAAGCCACAAATAAAAATGACAGAACAATGTCGAAAAAAAAAGGGATAAAATCCCAAAATTTCCCCCAAAATCAAAGGAGAAAGACAAAGACAAAAAATGACTGAACATGCAATGCCCTAAAGTTGGACAAAAATCGAACCCAAAACCATAAATCAAGCGAGCACAGAACCAACCAAGGAAAACTCGACAGGCCTGCGCCAACACCCACATGAATCAAAGACCGATCCAACAAAATCACACTAAAAAATCACACCAAAACTGCAAACAAAAATGCCCAAGCAGGATAGAGAAATCAAAATCACTAATCAAACCAGTATAGAGGCAAACAAAGAAAATGGGCCTCTGCCAAAGTCCAAATGAATCAGAGCACCGTAGACCAAAACCACCGGGGAAAATGAAAGCAAAGCCACCGATAAAACTGCCGAAGAAGCCAAAACACAAATCGCACAAAGTAACACCATTTTCTGCAAAATCAAATCCGCCAAAACGGGGCGACAAAAGTGGAGAAAATGAGGACATCGAAGAGGCAAGAAAGGCTAGGGCAAGGGAAACACAAAAAATGGCGAGGCAAAAAATGCTAAACCAAAAAACCCAGAGAAAAGAAGAGAAAAAAAGTAAAAAAAAAAATGAGAAGAAATGAAAGAGGCGGAGGAAATGAGAGAGAGGCAAAGGAAAAATTAGGGCTCCACCGAAGAACTGAAGAGGGAATCGAGGACAAAAGAAAAATTAGGCCTCCACCGGATGCAAAATCACCAAAAAACCAAAGCCCAAAAATCTAGAAAGGAGAAACAACGGGGGCAAAAGCGGGAAAGCAACCCATCACAACGGGTTAAAAGACCAAACCACCCTCGCGCCAGACAAAGGAAGGAGCAGTAAAGCGAGGGCAAAATGGTCACTTCACTGTAGAAGAAACAGTAAACTGAGTCTGCGTGAACAGGAAACCCCAACTCTCCTTTAGTATATTTATAATTTCTAAAAGGTAGTTGTCAGTTTTTACCAATTTATCTTTTTTTTTATTCACATCACTTTCAAGTGATATAAAGTCGATATTACCCTTCATTATATATATTCTCAACTCTTCAGTTAATTATCGATTTAATTAGTGATTAATCATATATAATTATCTATAGTAAAATTGTCTTTTTATTCATTAAAAGTGATTTATTTCAAATTTTTTGATATAAACGGTATAATTGAATGATACTACCACAGAAGTGGTATTTTCCTAATTGGCCCCATATAAATACATCATGTTTTGATAAAATATATTTGACGTGTGAATTAGTACCTATTGAGAGGAGAGACGAGTGAATTTATCACATTTGCCACTTTATAAATTTATTTTATATTGTTAATTGTCTTATAGTCTTGATTCTTATCTATATAGTCCGTACCATTATAACGATAAATTCAAACACCGATAGAGATTTGTTTATCGTATTAATTTACTCGTGCTACAACTAGAAAATGGGTTGATGCTCTTGAGAAAATTTAATCCTGTTGAATTGATAATTGATCATCTACAATTATTATTTGTTTGTATTGTTGTTATTTTTCAACAGGTTATTCAGACATTTGCTGCAATAATCGTCGAAGAAAGACATCTTGTAGATTAGTGATGGTAATCTTAAAGATTACATTTTTAAAAGCCTCAAATATTAGCGAATATGAATCAGAAGATCAACTCTTTAAAAAGATGTTCCTCAAAATTCCCTTTTCAAACTCACCCAAAATCTTAGAGTAATTATGTTACGCTACATGCCACATGTTTTAAGGTTGGATTGACATGTGTCTAGAAGAGTTAAAACACTTACAAAATATACTACAGTTATATATATTATTTAAGGTTCTTTTAATTCGTTGATTTAAATTTTTAATTCGAATTAAGATATGATTTTATGTGAGAATTTTTTATTGTAATAAAAAAATTAAATGTGACTATTTATGAGAGCTTTTTATTATAATAAAACTTAAATTTTAAACTCAAAATAGTGAAATCAACAAGATCTAAATTTTATGTCACGATCAAAATACCACAAATTAAACCAAGGTTTTTTCTCTCTCCTTCTCTTACCTCCCATCCCTTTCCCTCTAACTTCTCAACTGTCTTTGTCTCTCTCTTCTCTCTCTCCTTCTCCCTAACCTCTGCTCCTTCCACCACTGTCACGCTTTACTGGCAACAACCCAGCCGTTGGCCCTCCTCCATCGAGCGCGAAGCTACTCCTCCATCGTCACGTGAAGCCTCTCGTCCTCTGTGCGGGAAGATCTCTCTTCACCGCTATCCTTGTATGGAGGAGATCTGATCTCCGCGCCGGTCTTCCACAGATTCCTCGTTAGAGATTGTTGGAGAGTTTAATCTCCTTCGTGGAAATCTGCCAAAAGTTGACAGTCGCGGTTCAAAAGATCGTTGCCTCCATCTTTTTGTCGCTGTGGAGGAGATTCACCTTGTCGGCTTCCTCGATGATTCCGACTTTGCCGTTCGCTTCCACGACAAGACGCGTTGTTGTTGTTGTTTTTGTTTTTGTTTTTGTTTGGAGTTTGTAAATTCTGATCCGTGGAGTTATGAGTTTGTGGTGTCGCCGGTATTGGCGGATACTGGCTGGTATTTGATTATTATTTTTTTTAGTTTGTGGATTGTAGGATTTGTATTATAATTTTTCAGATATTTTTTCGTGATATTTTTTTTGTGATTTTAATGCTGTTGGTACCGGTGGTTTCCGGCTGATACAAATCGGTATACTGGTCAGATACTTATATCATGGTGATACTGCTCGGTATCATGGCCGGATATTTAGTATCAATGTGGATAATGAATTGTATCATGGTGGATATCATCCTGTATCTAACTTCTTAGGATATATTTAGGGGTTGTTTATTTGTATTTTTTGAGTTATATCTTGATTTAAGTTAAGGTGTATTTGACTTTGTGTTTGGTTGTGCGCATTTTGAGTTATGGTTTAAATTGAGAATCTATTTGAGTTTGTGTTTGAGTGAGTCAAACCTTAAATTTATATTTTAATAGTATTTTAATAAAAACTCAATGATAATGAAAAATTTTAATAGGGTATATGTGTGGGGTTTTATTAATCTCTTCATTGTGAACGCATAGAAAAAAATCATCTCAATCGAAATTAAAATGAAAAAAGTTATGACATTTTTAAGAATAGACTTAAATACTGTTTATTAACTTGAGTTTGAGTTTAGAAACTTGAGTTGAATGAAGAACTTGAACTTAAATTTTAGCCTCAAATTTAAGTTAAAATTTAAATTCAAACTCAAATTTTATAAAAGAATATAAACTTAAATAAAATTATAACTTGAGTTCAAATTTTGTTTGAGTCGGAGGGCAAATGAATTGAGGCATTAGTATTCTAAATAAGTGTGTTGGTTGTGATATTTTTTGTAATTAGTTTTTTTTTTGGGAGAAAGAGGGAAATAGGTCAGGACTTGAGATGAATTAAAATTAATAGGCCAATAGTTTACATAAGTTAATAAATAGGCTAAATTATTATTTTTATTCATAATTTGTCTGGTTATGAACTATAACTTGATAAGTTATTGTCCATAATTTACGGTTTTTGTCCATAACCTGTCTGGCTATAAATCATAACTTGACAAATTTATCCATAATTTATATGATTATAAACTATAATTTAATAAATTATGATCTATTAATTTTTATAATTAAAAATTGATCTATACTTTCTTAAACTTTTCTGGGCCTATTTTATACTATTTCCGTTTTTTTTTCAACGCCGATCCAAGGCTTGTTTTTAATTGGGCCCATTCACCATTTAAAGGCCCGTGAAGGACCAGATAGACATAGACGTACATCACCGTTCAAGAACTTTCTAGACACTACACCCAAAACATATATATAAGGAAGAGCTAAAACGAATTCGTTTACTACCCAGGACTTCCTTCAAAATCTTGAGCCCTACACTTCCCGACTTCCATTTCCATTAGAAAGCAATCAAAAAGTGTAACAGAAGAATAATGGCTACTTTAGATGAAACTCCTTCTGCTAAGAGATGGCTTCCTCTTGAAGCTAATCCCGATGTTATGAACCAGGTGATTTTTCTTTTTCTTTACCCTTATTTTCTCATTCCTCTTTTCGTATGCCTAATCTATTCGATCTTACACTTAAGATTCAATTTAATCTCTGTTTGGCTCCTTGGAAACACCTTGTAACAGAAAATTTGAAGAAAAGAAAGCATGTATTTTTTTAGTTTTGATTTGATTTTCGTTTCGTTCCTGTAAAATATTCGAGTCCCTTTTTTTTTCCAAGGTATATTACGAGTTTCTTTAGCTTGGAAACCGAAATTAGGGCTAGAGTTTATTCGGTTTTTTTGGGAGAAATGAAATAATTCATTTTTCTGGATCGTAGGGTTTTTAATCTGAAAGGTCGCTTCGAGGAAAGGAAATTTTTATCTTTTTTTTTTTTTTTAGTTTGTGAGGGAAAGTATTATCCATCCTCAGAAAATTTTGGCCTTTTTGGTTTGAAATTGAGAGATGCAACAGTAATTGGAAGGAGACATCGCTTTTGTAAAATGCTGTTTGGTTGCTGAGAAATTAATTTGGGAACGAAAAACTTTAAACTTGGAGAAGCAATATTCGACTGAACTTGGCCTAATCGGAGATTTGGCTCATTAGGTGTTTGTTTCTATGTTTTCTGAGAAATTAGTATAGAGTGTGTCGTAAATATACGAGCTTGGGTTTTTTTTTGTTTTTTTGTTTTTGTTTTTTTTTTAAAGAAGGCTGTTTAACACTACTTTGAGTTTAGGAAGTGAACGAAACTAACTAAAAAAAAAAAAAGAAGAAGGAATTTTAAACTTTTAATCGCGATACTGATGATTTTTTCCTGATTGAAAAAATAAAAATAAAAAAGAAAAGAAAAGAAAAGGAGTGTCGAACTTATGAGTTAGGGGAGCTTTTAGCGAGTCGAAATCTGTTGTCTTATCCCTTTTGTTGTCACACTAATTAAGATTTCCCACATTATGTATATTGTTAGCTTCTTCCAAAAATGCTATTTGTGAGCCTGACTTTTGTTTATTTATTTATTTATTATTCTTTTTTTCACTTTGTGAAAACAACGTTCTTCAAAAGACAAAGAAGGATGGACTTCAGATTACAGGTTGTTAGGGACATAATTACTAATGTAAATATGGAAAATACATAGATTATGTTCGCTTGTTAGTTATTATTTGTATCATGCAGTTCCTATGGGGCCTGGGTCTTCCAGAGACTGAGGCAGAGTGCTGTGATGTGTATGGCTTGGATGAAGAACTTCTGGAATTGGTCCCAAAGCCTGTACTAGCTGTGCTATTTCTTTATCCCATAACCTCACAGGTTTATGTCTTACTTGACTTTGGTGTTTAGAAATGTTTCTATTCTTCGGAATGACTACATTGTGGTCATTTGATAAATTTTCAATTGCTCTCAGAGTGAAGAAGAGCGCATGCTACAGGAAAATGAAATAAAGGTGAGTAGTGTTGACATTTGATCTTGGCGTCTGTAGAACTAGAAGTGTTTTATTTGTAGAACTTGGTTTATGTTTTTCTCCCTTTCTGAATAGTACTTGTATTTCTTTAGAATATTACAACAGTAATAACTTGTCAGATAACAGAAGTGTTGGTTTATCACTTTCTTACTACTCTAGCTTTTTCAATTTTTTGGTTGGCTTTCATAAATTCACAATAAGTGGTGCTGTAGGAACCTACTGGTGGAGTGTATTATATGAGACAAACTGTGGGCAATGCTTGTGGAACAATTGGACTTCTTCATGCTGTCGGAAATATCACTTCAAAGATCAAGCTTGGTGTGTGTATATAGTTTTCTTTTTCACAGATGAGTGTGCTTTGCATGTGTGTGGTTATTTTTCTTTCCTATTACTAGTAGTATAGAATACGTGCATAGGCATAAAAATACACAGTAAATTTTTGCCTGTGTTTTGTACAATCTCACAAAACTTGCTGACCAGGTTTTCATAAGTTCTAATGAAAATTAAAAAAGTCTTGCTCAATAGGGTTGTTCAGAAAAACTTTTTGGGGGAGAAAAACAGTATGTGAAAATTAAAACACAGAGGGCGGTGGCAAATCCTAGGACTAGAACATTGTATTGGTTGTGAATTCACTAGAAAATATCTAATTGTCCTTTGGTTCCCCTGTTTTGTTAAAAAAATGAAAAGCTGCTCATGTTATGACCAACGAGTTTGAGACTCTTAAGAAACATTAAAATAAATAAGTGAGCTATGAAATGTAATAGAACTAAAAAATATTGAACGAGTTCCTTGGAGATCTGAGACGGATGCTTGTCTTTCTAGCTGCTTCTAGTAAACTGGGAGACAACGACATGTGTCTGCCCCTAGAAATTTAAACGTGTCCAATTTTTATTTAATTTTTTTAATTGGAAAGCTTTGGTATCTATGTTGTGGCCTTCAATGCCGTCTGTTGTAAAAGTTGAGCTTACTTTCTTAAAAAAAAATGCAGCTTTTCTTGGAAACATTTTTCCCATTACCGGTTGTTTTATTGTTGATTTACTTTTTATCAGGCTAACTCTTTGTTACGATGTCTACATGTTATTTTCAGTTGAGGGATCATTCTTGGATAAGTTTTTTAAAACTACTGCAAATATGGATGCCTTGCAGGTTCTTCTTTTTCTTTTTTCTTGCACTTACTGACTCGTTACATCTTATTTTGGTTGATGTCATACCTACACGGTTGCCTGAAAGCTTACTGATTTATACTTTCCATATTTGTTCAGAGGGCACAATTTCTTGAGAATGACACAGAGATTGAAGTTGCTCATTCAGTTGCAGTTACTGCTGGCGACACAGAGGTAAAATTTCCGTTGGTATATACTGTATAATGAGGCAATTCAATAGGTTCCTATTACGAGGTAAACATAGAGATTAGTTACTTTTAAAGTGCAAATTAGTTGAGCTAGCCCAATAGTTCGGATTGAGCTCATTTGTCCCCTTATTTTTGTCCCCCCATAAAATATTTCAACAGTCTTGACTTTTTAATTGATGTGATATGAAATTTTAATTGACATGATATTATTTTGGAGAGAAAATTACAGATTTTGTCTCTTTAAGTACCTGACTTACAAAAAGTACCCCTTTTAAAAAACTCTACCCCTTAACTAGGTCTAGTCTAAAAGGTAGAAAAATATGGGCTAATGTTAAGGGGTAGAAATAAAATGGGGTTACATTTCAAGGGGTATTTTTAAAAATTGCCCAAGTTTTTGCTTCTTCCATCTTACCACATTTCCTGTACAGGCTTCAGACAATGTGAACACTCATTTCATCTGCTTCACATGCGTGGATGGTATGTAGTTTATTGGGTACTTCTCATCTCTGCCTCACACTCTTGCCTGTTATTCCATATATGCATGGAAAATAAAGATTTTTTTTTTTTTAAAATCTTTCTTGTGGAAAGAAACAAAGTGCAGTTTTCTGAAATGATGAGAAATTCTGTCATAAATTCCTAGGTATTTTGATTAATCTGTAAATCCTTTTGGCAGGAACACTTTACGAGCTTGATGGAAGAAAGACGGGACCGATTCCTCATGGTGCATCTTCACCGGATACTCTACTGAATGTATGTACCTGTTAATTTTTTAAGTTAAATTCCTTGCCATTTGGAGTTGGGGTAACTTTAGTGTACTGGTTTTGATTATCTGCATATATTATCCCTTACTGTTTGGTAACATTTACTATGATAAGATCATTATAATATTTTCATTTTTCTTTTTGTTTAATAGGGTGCGGCTAAAGTCATAAAGGGGATGATCGAAAAGAATCCTGACTCACTCAACTTCAATGTCATTGCCATTTCGAAGAAAGATGGTGGTGCTTTTTAATGTTGTAGGTCTGAAATCACAAGTGTACCTTATAAACGTTGAAATTGTAATGCCGTAATTACGGCCCTTAAATGTTATTTATTTATTTAGTTTGGTTATGTGCTAGTAAAACACCATAAGCTCGTGTGAAGTTGTCAGGTGGCTACTTAGTGTGGCATGGAGTTATAACGACATCCAGAAAAGATGGATTAATTCCCAATGTCAACATCAAAGCAATTGGTTTGTTTTTTGAACTTTGTTTTATCTTTTAGACAGATGGGTAAATATCTCCATGGATGTGCTTTTCAAGGAAGTGTTGGGCATTTACATTTGTTTCATTGAAATAATTTCAAGTCCAAAAGTAAAACGTACATGTAATTAAAATAAACATATGGTTGGCTAACCAATTATCAACCTAGAGGAAATATGGTGGCACGCATGCCACCCAATTTTCTTGTGTTAAGATTCACGCCTTTACTTTTTGTGGTTCAGATTTATGGTACTTATTTTTCTATTTTTACTGCTTCTAAATGACTAAACTCAAATCTTAAAACAAATTATCTCTCCTCTCTCTCAAATCTCTCATCTTCTCCGATTTCTCTCTTCGCACCTAGTGCCCTAGAGGTCAAGCCTTAGGCCTATAAGCCTCACGCCTCAATATTACAACCTTTGGAGTTGAATTCAGATTTCAGACCTCCCAAAAAAATAAAATGTCCAAAATATATATTTTCTTCTCTTCCATTTCTTTTCTCATCAGCACTGTAAATAGAGAGTACATAACCAATTCAAATTGCACAAATTAATAATCAAAACTAACCCACTAAGAATACATGTTAAGCAATAACAAAAAAGAACAACTAAAAGCACTTTTGTTAAGTATCTTATTAAATTAAGAAGAACTTGTCCAATCAAAATACAATTAACAAACGTTACAAATAATAAAATGACAAAATAATTAAATAACATTACATTTTTGGTACGTAACATCTCAGCCCTTGGTTCTAGTCCATTTTGAAAAGTTTTAACCAAAAAAAAAATAAAAAATAGAGTTCAGATAGAGCTTCTCGGTGACTTTCGGCTCCCATCCCCAGCTGCGGAACGTCAGCGCGCCGGCGACCGTACGAAGGCCGTTGCGTCAGCCCTTCCCACCGATCCTCCGCGCATTTTTTGCCGTCGTGCGAGGCGATTTCATGCCACCTGCAAGGCAAGCTCCTCCGTGGTTGGTTTTCTGTTTGTAATTTTTGTTTGAAGTTGAATTTGGGTTGACTATAAGTTGGGATTTTGTGGTTGAAAAACCAAGTCTTTGAGGAGATGTGAAGGTTTCTGTTATAAACTATAATCGTTCATTTCCCTTTGCTTCTATTTCTATGATGGGATTTCATTGATTTTACAAAATCTCAAAATGGGTTGCTTCGGAATAGAAATCTTATCTTAGCTCGTCGGTTAGTATTACTCTATCCATTTGGGTTATGTGCTTGTTATAATTTGCAAAATGGGTTGCCAAAAGTGTAGTGACTAGGAGAAGGAGAATTTCGTAAGTTTCTGCCCGAGCTTGCGGTTGTTGACTATGAGAATTAAAAGAGCTTTAATTGTGTGTGTCATTTTTTGTGAAGTTGAAGTTGGGTTTAGGAATTATTGAAGTTCTGTGTTTGCAATTTTTATTTCGAGTTTAATTATGAAATAGAAATTAGTTTATGGAACTCCTTTTATTGTGGAATCTGTTGATAATCGATTGATGTTTTTGGACTTTGATTGTTGAAAATTGCTATTGTGATAGTTTTGTGTTTAGCTATTTGTGATTCTTTTGTTGATTATTTCACTATTTTTGGAGATTGATATTTTTTGTAAATTGGGTTGTGTGATCATTTAGATATTGTTAGAAGTTCAAATTTGTAAGATTTTTGTGAGATTTGTGAAATTAGCTTGATATTTGTTGGAAATCGGTATGATCATGGTGTTCTAAAGTGTTTGAAAATACTTTATCTTCATACTCTGACTTATGTAGTTTTGGACATTACTATTATATTAATGTTTTTTTTTCCTTAGGACTATTATGGGTTATGTAATTTTTATCTTCATACTATGACTTATTTTGGACTATAACTATTATATTCATGTTTTTTTAATATTTAAAATATTTTTCATAATGCTACTGAATGTGAGAATATTTTTCATAAAATTGATTTTCAAATACCATCTGATAGTGTTTTAGTCTTTTGGTCTTTTTTTTTTTTTTTTTTCTTTTTGTTTTTTTTTTTTTTTTTTTTTTTTTTTTACCGTCCTACAAGTGCACGGGGATTAAATTGATACATAGTTTTTATATCTAAACAATAACTTTATGGTTTGTTTAAAAAAGGGACAAATTGAAAAAAGTTGAAAATAAGAGACATATTTATGTAATTATAGTCGGTTTAGTTTATTTTAGTCTGTCTCTTCCGTTTAATCTAACATCTTCATTATGATTGACGTTTCCGTTATAAAAATCGACTATGATTGAATTGATGAGTACATTTTTTTCTGCAGATAAGAACAACACAAAATCTCTACTCTGCTTTTTCATTACCTCTCACTGAGCTCGCAAAACTTCCTCAGGCTCTCCAAAATTATTACTTGAATTCAATCTTTTCAGCTGCCGAAACCCCAAAAGCATAAAAAGAAGAATCAATGCATGCTTCAAGGATTCTTCGCAGGTCGATTTGCCATTATATAGTGGGAAAACATAATTCTCTCCAATCCTTTTCGGCAATCCAAGAGAACTACTCACTCACTCTTAATCCCCAAAAATGTCTTCACCAAAGTTGCAGAACTCTCATCTTGGAACCCACGTCGTCTCAGTTCGTCAAACTTAACAGACTCTCCGACTTGGATTCTGGTTAACTCTACAAAAACTCAATCGTTCCCCAATTAATTTCCATTTTTTGTCGGAATGCAAAAACCCCAATTGGATTTGTGTTTGCTTGTTTGATCTATAGGAATTGTTGAAGTTAGTTTGGACAGGCCTGAGACGAAGAATGCCATTGGGAAAGATCTGCTGAGAGGATTTAAAAATGCACTTGAAGAGATCAGTACTGATTCCTCTGCTCATGTCATGTTGATCCGTAGTTCAGTTCCCAAGGTGTTCTGTGCAGGGGCTGATTTGAAGGTAAAGGCATAGACCTTTTGTTTTCTTTACCATCTGATTCTCTGACTTTGCATATCAAGTTCTAGATATATATATATATATATATATATATATTGCGTTTTCGTAGGTAAAAAAAAAAAATTTATGTAGTAATGAACGGTCAGATAACGTTATAAATATTTGATAGATCTAAACTGCACTCTTCTGGTAGGGTATTTTTCTTCCCATATGAAAGAATTTTTTTCCTGTTATGGCCCTAATGATGGGCGTTGAGTTAATATGTAGATTCTACTGGTAGGACATTTTCACACCAAACAAAAGGATTCTTTTCTGTTATGGCCCTGCATGACTTGATATGTGGGAAAGGTGTGAAATGGCATCAATACTGGAACAAGTAGTTTTGGGAAATCTTTCTGTAATATATATAAATACACACACACACACACACAGGAAAAAGACTTGGGATATATTTGGGGGTTGCTCTTATGCTGTTTTTCTTTCTATGAGGCATTGAACTAAATACATGATTTTGGTAAAACTTTCATTTAGCCCCGTTGATAATGTTCCCAAGAAGCTAGTTTACTCTATGCCAGCTCATGCAATCAGCATGTTTTTGGTTTTCAATAAACAATTAAGAGATTACTTAGGAATCCCTGAGAAATTTGGAAACCAAAGCTGAATCGCTCTCTTCTCACATCTTTGTGAGATTGTATTTGTACAAGAGGTGATAATATATGCATTAATAGTAGCTCTTGGCTGTTGATTGGATTGGCAGGAACGCAAGAGACAGAGTGCGTCTGAGGTTCAATCTTTTGTAAACTCATTGCGCTCCACATTCTCATTTTTAGAGGTCGATTCCCCTTATTCACCTATGTATTTGTTATCAATTACTTTTCTCTTGCCATGAAGTTGCAATAGAATGATACATCAGAACTCGGTTGGACGTGATTTTGATGAACTGCAAATGGGCTTTTTTATGTAGCTGATACTTTGTAATTTCACGCCTTCGGAAAGTAGCCTCTTTGCTTGTGTTTTGCGGATTAGATGCTTAAAAGTAGATTTACACTCGGTTCTTCTTATTAGATTTTCAAGGATGGGGGTTTTGATAGTATCTAAGATGTGCTGTGGAATAATTAAAAAATGCTTGAACCAAAGGTTTTGCAATTATTTATCAGTTGCGTTGAGCTTTTGAAATCCTTTATTCAGGCACTTGGTATACCTACTATTGCTGTCATTGAAGGTGCTGCATTGGGTGGTGGACTTGAAATGGCTCTATCATGTGATCTCCGAATATGTGGTAAACCTGAGTTTAACATTCCCATATTTAGCTTGATCATGTTAAGTGAAAGTTTGGCTACTTAGACGAGGTGTAGTTATCAGACTGATTGTTTCCCACCTCGAATGGCTCAGGAGAAGAAGCCGTACTGGGATTGCCAGAAACAGGACTTGCTATAATTCCCGGGTATGTGCTATATACCATTTCTCAACATCTTAGTTGAACGGTTCCTGACCTTTTCCTCCAAAAGAACGCATTTTGCTCAAGATAGAAGTCTTTCCATCAATGTTTTGATCTTTTTGTATGTATTTCTCTATTCTTTGGACAGTCCTGATCACCCTTTTCCACAAACCTGCCTTTCACAGGGCGGGTGGGACACAGCGGCTTCCTAGATTGGTCGGAAAAGCCAAAGCTAAGGAACTTATATTCACCGGCAGGAGGATTAGTGGCATGGCTGCATTGTCTATTGGTGCATTTTCTTACCATCTACTTTGCTTTTATTAATTAATTTATTTTTTTTATACTAATTTATAACGAAAAAGTACACCCTGCTTCAGGCCTCGTCAATTACTGTGTTCCTGCTGGCGAAGCTCATCAAAAAGCACTCGAAATTGCTCGGGAAATAAATGAAAAGGTACCACTAAATTGTGCTGTTGGAGCTGCGAAATTGTCGTCTGTATCTTGTATTAACGCATATATTGCATTTAAACCAACAAAATCTCTCTCAAGTCTGACGAACTATAACATGTAAACAATTCATACTCAAGCACATACTCTCTAAGTATGAGTTGACTAGTATTGCTCGTTGTGTTTACCCATAATACTTTTCGCAGGGTCCAATAGCAATAAGAATGGCGAAGAGGGCCATTAACGATGGACTGGAGGTAAACACGGTTTCAGGCATGGCAGTAGAACAGGATTGCTACGGACAACTCTTGGACACAACAGATCGTTTGGAAGGCCTCGCGGCATTTGCTGAGAAGCGGAAACCAAAGTACACTGGAGAATAAAATCATAGTTGATATAGATCTTTATTTGGTGTTAACTATTCGAGATTCAGCAGCAGCAGCAACAACAAAAGTTTCCTTTTCTAAATAATTTGTTTATCGTATATTGTCTTTAATTTCATTTAGTTTCCAGTTCTTGCTAGTTTCCTATTCCTAGCCTCAACAAGTCCTATGTATATGAGTGTAATTGGATTATTATAATCACAACTCATCAATAAAATTTCAAACTTATTGGAGTTTAATCAATTATTCTCTGGTAGCTGGACAGATTCGAGCGATAACTTGATGAGTTTACGGAGAACCTTTGGCAGGTACGCAGACATTTGCTGCAATATTGTTCGAGGAAGACATGGAGTTAGGGTTGTACAATTTTAGATGACCGGGGAATATTTTGTTTGCATATTTCCTTTTACTGTTTCGGTAACATTTAACTACAGTCACACACGTCATGATCTATAAGAATCCCGACTCACTTGTACTTGTAATGCTTTAATAGTACTTAAATCTGATCTTTTTTTTTTTTTTTTTAAGCTTGGCAGTTTTTTGGTTTTGGTTATGTGTTAGTCAACAAATATCATAAGCACATGAAGTTATCATGGAATTTTCATGTGGCTAATAAACGTTACATGGAGTAATAATGACATCCAAAAAAGATGTGGAATCCTCCAAATTGAAGTCATAATGGTGATGACTAGTGCTGGAATTTCAAGTCGGCAGGCTGCCTGAAGCCCGAATTTTTTCGGGCTCGGGCGGGCAGGCCCAATTCTCGCCCGTCCAAGTAAGAAATTCGGGTTCGGGCTTAGGCGGCCCGAATTTGACATGTGCACCTTTGCCCGCCGCCGTCTAACCACTGTATACCGCCGTCCGCGGGATTTTTTTGAATTTTTCCGACCATGCCCGAACTGCCCGACCCGAAAATTGGGTGTGCCCGAATTGCCCGACTCGCTGCCCGAAAACTCAAACGGCTGTTTTTTTTTTTTGAATTTTGCCCGAAATTTTCCCGCATGCCTGAATTGCCCGAGGTGCCCGAATACCCGAAAACGGCAAGTTTTTGAATTTGTACCCGAATTCTGCCCGAAAACCCGAGGTGCCTGAAAACGGCTAGTTTTTTGAATTTCTGCCCGAAAACCCGAGTTGCCCGAATACCCGAAAACGGCTAGTTTTTTTTTTTTTAATTTTGCCCGAAAACCCGAGCTGCTCGAGTTTGCCCGACTGCCCGATGCCCGAATTTCAAAAAACTAGTCATTTTATCCCTTTTTTTTTTGAAAAAAAATCATTTTTTAACCCCAAAATTTCCCTATAAATACCCCCCATCCCTCACACATTTTTCTCACTCAAACTTTCTCAATCCCTCTCAATCTCTCTCAATTTCTCTCAATCTCTCTCAATCTCTCTCAATTTCTCTCAAGCTCTCTCAATCTCTCTCACAATTTTTCTAAATCTCTCTCTCTATCAAATTCATCTTATTTTTTTATAATGGATCCTTTTGGTTATAGTGGTATTCCCATTGATGCCCAACACAATGTAGAAGAAGGACAATTTCCCACTAATGAGTTTGTTACGCAGCAAATGCAATCTACTAATCCAAGCCATGGTGGACGTA